GGAAGAGGAGCCCAAAGGGATCTCACTGCAGCCCCCAGCTAACCCAAGGGAGTCACAGAGGTGATGGAGCCAAACTCTTCTTCATAGAGGCAGACAATAGAAGGGGGGGACATGAGGACAAACATCTTCCCCAGGTGGGTGCTGCAGCCCTGGGACAGTGCACCAGAGAGGAGGGCTTGGGGCTGGGCATGGCCACAGTGCCATGGAGTGCAGGAGACCCCATCCTGCCAGTGCTGTGGGACCCCCTGTGCCAGCTCTCTCCTCCCTTGCCCCACCTCTCATAGGCCTCACGGAGGATGCTGGATGATGAAATGACCGTCAGCCTCTCCTTGCCCAGCGAATCCAGCATGTTCAACCACAACCGCTCCTCCTCCTCCAGCGAGCAGGAGTCCAGCTCCACCTACGACCGCATATTCCCCCTAGGACCCGACTACCAGGAGCCCTCCCGCCTGATCCGCAAGCTGCCCGAGTTCACCCCGGGAGAGGAGGACACGGGTGAGAGCTGGGACACCCTGCTTGCTTAGAGCCATCTACCTCACATCGAGCCTGCTGTGGTCCCCTCTCCCCAGCCCCTGATTTTGGCCTATCTCCAAACATTTTGGCACAGAAGGGTGGGGAGGAGGTCACATAAGCTCCCACGCATCCCGCTCTGAAGTCACACAAAGCCTGGGGCTGAGAGCCATTACAGGTGTCCACCACCAGGCTGAGCTGTGTCTCCACCACCATCCTTGGGATGCTCTGGCATCTCTTCCTTGGTCATCTGGAGGTCGGGCACTGATCCCTGCTCATCTAGTGCTTGGGGTTGGGTTGATGCATTTGTCGGTGGTGTGGAAGGAGCAGAGCAGGCTGCAATGTCTGCAGGAGCCCAACTGTGCTGGGCAGCGCCAGAACTCTGGGGAGGATGGGGATGGAGAAGCTGGTGACTGGAGTGTGAGCAGGCACCAGGGAGCAGAGGGTACAGGACAGGACACCCAGGCAGGGCTGTCCCCACTGTCCTCCCACAGGCTGCAGTGGCCCTGCGAAGCCATCCCAGGCCAACGTCCCCGAGGGTGTCCCCCACTATGCCGAGGCCGACATCGTGAACCTGCAGGGTGTGACGGGTGGCAACACCTACTCAGTTCCGGCCCTCACCATGGACCTGCTCTCTGGCAAGGATGTGGCTGTTGAAGAGTTCCCCAGGAAGCTGCTGACCTTCAAGGAGAAGCTGGGAGAAGGCCAGTTTGGGGAGGTGAGTGGGAGCCAGTCCTGCTCTGAGCAGGACTCGGGCAAATCTATTTTTTTTTTCTTCAATCCTCTTGTTCAAAGAAAAGGGGTTTGAAGGGACCAGTCAAATCTGGTGAGTGAACAAATGGCTACAGGTCTGGGGCTGCAGCCAGGGATTTGGTTACTTAGACCATGCAACTCACTTTGAGAAGGTCTACTGGGAGCTGATGGGGTCCATCTATGAAAGGGGAGAGCATCTTCAGTCTAATGCTTGCCAAGCTCATGAGGAGGGTTTTAAACTAAAGTTACTAGGGGAGGAGAACTTCAATCCATCCCACTCCTATCAGTTTGATGCTAGTGGCAACAATACATGCCCAGAGCCTGGAGAAGGGTCGCAGGTCAGCAGGAGAGCACCTGGAGTGCAGCACAAAAGAACACCAGCCACTCTAGCCAGTAAGTCAACTTCATCTAGTGCCCAACTTAAGTGCTTCTATGCAAATACACGTAGCATGGGGAGCAAACAAGAGAAGTAAGAGAAACGCATGTGTCTGCAGGGCCATGATCTTATTGGCATCATGGAGACATGGTAGGATGGATCCTGTGACTGGAGTGTTGGAATGAAAGATACAGACTCTTCAGAAAGGACAGGCAGGGGAGACAAGGAGAGGGTGTCGCCCTCGATGTCAATGACCAGCTGGAGCGAATGGAGCTCTGCCTGGGGATGGATGAGGAGCTGACCATGAGTTTATGGGTCAGGATTAAAGGGAGGCCGGGGATAGGTGGAGTTACAGTGAGTGACTGCTACAGGCCATCCTACCAAGAAGACCGAGGCCCTCTACAGACAGACAGGAGCAGCCCCATGTTCACAAGCCCTGGTTCCTCATGAGGGACTTTGACCACCCCAATATCTGTTGGAGAGACAACACAGCAGGGTGTAAGCAATCCAGGAGGTGTAGTGGAGGGTGTCCCTGCCCATGGAAGTGGGGTTGGAACTAGATGATCTTTAAGATCCCTTCCAACCCAAATCATTCTATGATTCTACGATTCTAAGGCTCTTTCTGGTTTGTGGGGCCGGGGGAGGCTGACAGTTAATGAGGATAATGGCTGCCTCTTTTCCCCCTCCAGGTTCATCTCTGCGAAGTGGAGGGGATGGAGAAGTTCACAGGCAAGGACTTTGCCCTGGAAGGCTTGGACACTAGCTCCAACCGTCCTGTGCTGGTGGCTGTGAAGATGCTGCGAGCGGATGCCAACAAGAACGCCAGGTACCGGGCCAGGGGGTGCACATGCCCTAGCATCGTCCCCTACATAGAGTCCTCTCCAGGAGAGCAGGGATGCTTGGAAAGCGTCTCCTGTCCCCAGTGGCCAGCTTCTCAGTGCAGCTGTGAGGACCACATGTCTGAGCTGTCTGGGGATGCTGGGCTACAGCGATTCAGGACTGTTGGTCCTTGCTGGTCCTAACCAGCTCCCCAACATCCCATCTACCCACCAAGTCCACCCCACAGCTGTATGTGGATCAACACTGAGCTCCCCTTCATGGCCCCCAGTCCCAGGGGAGGGGACCCACAGATCCCCTACAAGGCTTGGGTGGACGGGTGACACTCTCGACTGGTCTGTGCACATCTCTGTGCCCCTCTGGGTCTGTCTATCCGATCCGTGTGGTTTCTGTTCCGGAAAGGAATGATTTTCTGAAGGAAATCAAGATCATGTCGCGGTTGAAAGACCCCAACATCATCCGGCTGCTGGCTGTGTGCATCACGGACGACCCGCTGTGCATGATCACCGAGTACATGGAGAACGGAGACCTCAACCAGTTCCTGTCCCGCCAGCAGGCAGGCACCCCCCTCGCTGGCAATACACCCACCATCAGGTAGCACCACCTGGGACAGACAGGGCTGCCTGCTCCAGGCACCCTGCTTGGTCATGGGATGCCCTACTCAGGGCTGTGTACTCCCTGTCTGCTCTCCTTCCCGTCACCTCAGTTCTCCTCCCTTGTTCCCCTCCCCGGCAGCTACAGTGACCTGCGGTTCATGGCCACCCAGATTGCCTCCGGCATGAAGTACCTCTCCTCCCTCAACTTCGTGCACCGAGACCTGGCCACACGCAACTGCCTGGTGGGCAAGCAGTACACCATCAAGATAGCCGACTTCGGCATGAGCAGGAATCTCTACAGCGGGGACTACTACCGCATCCAGGGGCGGGCAGTGCTCCCCATCCGCTGGATGTCCTGGGAGAGCATCCTGCTGGTACGTGGGGTTCCTCTGGTGGCCACTGACATGGCCCTGGAGCTGCTCACAGCCTCTTTTCCTCGGGTTGGAGCATGCAGAGTGGATGGGGAAGTCTCTTCTCCCTGGAACCCAGCTTTAGGGTGAAGCATGCAGAAAGCAGGAAGGGTAGCAGCTTTTCGAAGTAGGATGGGGGGACTACAGTGATCTTTGGTGTCCTGGTGCCCAGCCTTTGAGCAGGACGCTTGACATATTCTCCTGGCCATGGTCAGACCTGGAAGAAGGAGCAGGGTTACTTTTTACCTTTGCAGGGAGCTGGGTCCTTACTAAGCCCCAGCCTTCATAGCAGTTGCTGCAAGCTGGACCCAGAGCTCACCAGGCTCTGGCCCTGGGCAGAGACCAGGTCTGCAGGACCAAGCCCCTCTCTGGGCCCAGATCTGGAAGCTGATGCATGCAGAAAGAGGATTTGAACACCAGGCATGTAGGGTGCTTATGGAGCAGGATGGAGTAATGACCATGCCCGACCCCGCTCTGTTCCCTCCTGCCAGGGCAAGTTCACAACGGCCAGTGATGTGTGGGCGTTTGGTGTGACATTGTGGGAGACCTTCACGCTCTGCCGGGAGCAGCCCTACTCCCAGCTGTCCGATGAGCAGGTCATCGAAAACACCGGCGAGTTTTTCCGGGACCAAGGCCGGCAGGTAGGGATGGGATGGGATGGGATGGGATGGGATGGGATGGGATGGGATGGGATGGGATAGGATGGGATGGGATGGGACGGGACAGGCAGCAGTGCACCTGGGACATGGGGGAAAATCTTTAAGGTGTCCAGATAGGGAGCCTGGCTTGGCTATGGGGGAGTTATGGGACAGGAACTCCTCTGGAATGGAGTCCTGGTAAAGGGTCTGGTGCAGCAAACCCTGTACTTTACATAGCCCAGGGCTTTGCTTGCCCACTGGCCCTGCTCCAGCATTTAGCCAGGCTGGGAGACATGAGCAGGTGCCCTCAGCCCCCTCACTGTGCCGTCTGGGGGTCCCCTTGCCCCTGAACATACAGCAGCACAGCTCCCTGCCCCGGCGCATGGAGAAAAGGGGCTCCCCAGAGACAGTTTGCTTTTTGGTTTCCATGGCAGTAACTCTCTCCTCTTGTCATCTTTGCCTTTTGTTTTGAAGACCTACCTTCCCCAGCCTGCACTTTGCCCTGACTCAGTCTATAAGCTAATGCTCAGCTGCTGGAGACGGGACACTAAAGATCGTCCCTCCTTCCAGGACATCCATCGCCTTCTCCAAGAGTCAGCCAGTGAAGAATGACCCTCTGCTCCCCCCAAGTCCCCATCCCCATCCCTCCCCATCCCCAGAGGAGCCCCATACTCAAACCAAAGCCACTTCACTCGGACTTAGCAATAGAACCCGGGCAGCTGGTCTTGTTCTCATTGTACAGTGAAGCCTCAGAGGAAAACCCCAAGGGCAGCAAGGAGAGCCACAGCGTGGGACGACTTGGACCTCCTGCTCACTTGCTGACGCAAGCTCGGGAGCCAACATGGGCTGAGATGAGGATTATTTATTGATGCAGCGTGTTCTTGGTGATGATGTCCGGGACAGAGAGTGGCTTCTCTCTCCAGGTTGGAGGGGAAGAACGTCAGCTGGACTTTCTCCATGAGGAAGCTCCCGGCCTATATGCAGGGTGGGCACCTGCAGAAGGAATGTGCACGGGTATGTGCCTGCTGGAGTAGGGACCATCCTGCAGCCACTGCCTGCTTGAGGAGCAGCTGGGAGTTGCTCACAGGAGGCTGTGCAATTACGGGATGAAAACAAAAACTCTGTGGACATTATGGCCTTTGGACATGCCACATGGAGGGGCAGGAAGCTCCATCCTTGCTGGCCAGAGCCGAGTTGCGCAGAGAGAATCCCAGCCCCTCTCCCAGCTGCTGGAGGGGGCTCAGCCACGGCTCCTCTGTGTCAGCCAGGGAGGAACGGACATGCCAGCCCTGGAGAGAGGCACACCAAGGGCACCTCCTCCCACTGACCTCAGCCACTCCAGAGCTGCTCAACTGCTCCTGAAATGCATTTTGGATGCCCTGCGGGTGCTACGTGGCAGACGGTGGCGTGGTAGCACCTTTCACCTCCAAGGGGAAATCTCCAGGTCCTCCTCTCCCAGGGTTAACCCACATCTTCACCAGCCATGAGAGGAACGCACATAGCAGAGTTTTCACCAGCTTCTGCCTGATGCCCAAGCCTGCAACGGCCCGTGGGCATGGAGCAGCGGGCACCCCGGCTCTCCCTGGCTCCTGGCCCGGGGGTTGCAGCTCGGCTCAAGTGCCTGGGCTGGACTCTGATGCCCTGAGCATCCCGCAGCAGCCTGGCACCAGTCCGTCCTCCCAGGTCTGGCAGCTCCACGAGCAAACTGGGCAGGTGCCAAAGCCGCACGCACCCCAGGAACCCTGGCAGGTCACCTGTCCTGCCCCATGAACGGACCCTCCTGCAGCTGGACAGAAGGAACTTTGTACTTAGAGGGCACATGGACCCCTCCATACTTTTGTACGCATTAGTTCAGCACCATCGTCACGCGTGGCACAGTTTCCAGTATACCATTGCTAAGGCATGTATATATTCAGTAGATGCACCTATACATAGGGGCAAACCCGCTGAAGAGACACTTGCTACGTGAATCTGGTTGCGTGGTTCCCTTGCGGCGCTTCAGAAGGCAGCTCACCTCCTCTGTGGGCACCTCGGGGAGCCTGGCCAGGCTCCACCTGCTGGGGGGGGCTCTGGGGCTGCACTATGTGCCCTGAGGTGCTTGGGAGAGTGCACATATGTAACAAGGAAGGATGCTCAAGAGACCTGCTGGTTGACCCCCACCGGTTGCCCATCTCCTTGGGCAACAGGGAGGGTGCTCCAAGGCTCAGCATCCACGTCAGATGTTCACTGGCAGGGACTGAGGTGGGATATTGGGGCTGGGAGAGGGGGGTAGGGGGCTGGCCCAGTCCTGGCTGCAGCAGAGGAGGTCTCACCCCTCCTGAGTGCAGAGTCTGCAGCAACACCTCACTTTGGGGCTGAATCAGGAGTGAGGACAGGCTTTGTTCATGAAATTGGTACCCGTCTGCCTCTGCCTTCGGATGCCCTCTCCCTGCTCAGGGTGCATCACAGCCTCTCCCAGGAGCTGGGAGCACTGGGCCAAGCAGGGGGACATCTGCCCCATGGACACTGCAGCCCCCGCTGACCTGAGCCCCTGGGCTCTGTGCCTGGGCACCTGCACGGGGGATGGACAGCCATGGGGTGAACCATGTGTTGGGCGCCTGGGGAGCAGCCCCACCAGCAGGGAGGTGCAGGGGGCTGGTGGTGTGTGTCCATCCCCTGCTCCAGCTGTGACACCGGCCCCGCCAGGCACAGGGCTGCACCGAGATCTCCAGCGGGCACTGTGCACCCTGGCACTCGCAGCAGCACCGGGGGTACAGTGACATGGTGGCACTTCTGTGTGGCTGCAACACAGGGCTGCAATCCCTCTGCGTGAGGGCAGAGTGCCCCATGGCTGCGGGAAGGGGAGGGGAGGGGAGGGAAGGGAGAAGGGAGAAGGGAGAAGGGAAGGAAAAAGGGAAGGGGGAAGGGAAGGGAGTGGGGAAGGGAAGAGGGAAGGGAGAAGGGAAGAGAGAAGGGAGGGGGAAGGGAAGGGGGAAG